GACGGCGTGCAAGAGCCACGTACGGAGCGCGCGTGTCAAGGACCGCTACATGTCAGGAGAGGGTGGGGGCGCAAGCTTAAAGAATATTTCGTGTTCCTCGATCGATAATTCAACGCGACCCGAGGACTCGGCGCGCCGCGCGAATAATTTATTCGCGCACGCTTACGCGCTTACTGTTTAAAAGCTAGTAGACGCCTTCCTGAGGCCTTCTCAGGAAGGCCGTATCGCGAAACGAACGTCGTTTTCGGTCCCGGCCCCCCTATTTCTAAGAATGCTCCCTTTGACTATGAATATGCATGAAGCTCAAGGGAGAAAGAGGAAGACCGAGAAACGCGCCACTCTTTGTGGCGCGTCTCCCGCGGCTTCTACGGCGGTTTTTTTTCTTTTCCTATAATAATAGCATCTCTCGAACGCGTGGTGGACGCGGTGAGCGAAGGGGAGCAGAAGAGACGCGCGCAGACGCTTAAACATTTTATCAGATCACTTATATCTCATGAAGGGCTATAAAGACACGCGCGGAGGGGGGCATTTTGCATGGGAAGTGGTCGAAAACACATAGGAATTAATTAGGCTGCCATAAATAGCGAACCCGCGCTTTTTTATGAGCACGCTCCTCCGATTCTCTCTCTCCCCCCCCCCCCCCCCCCCCCCCCCCCCCCCCCCCCCCCCTCTCTCTCTCTCTCTCTCTCTCTCTCTCTCTCCCTCCCTCCTTCTCTTGCATCCGGGGACGCATCGTCGTCGTTGCTCGAAGAGGGGCAGCAACAGCGGCAGAGATCGGTAGGAGGGCAGCGAGCGGAGATTTTTTGACGTTCGACCGGATCGGACGAGGCGGCGGCAACGAGCGCGAACACGCTCCGAGCGATCGAGCGCAATTTGTTCAAAGAGATAACGAAGAGCGATCGCGATCGCTGTTTTCGGCTCAACCCTCCGAGGGCTGCTCTTTATGGATGACGTGGTTAATGGACGCGCTGCGAGGAACGAACGTCGAGTATGTGTCGGCCGGTGACATAAATTTTTAATACGTCTGTTCTCTCGCCCCTTTCCTCCGAGGCTGAATCGATAAAATCTCGATCGTTCGACGCGCGAGAACTCGAGCACGAGAGTGTGCCTTCGCGGGCGATACTGGCCCGCGGGTGCCGAGTGTCATCCAGGTGTGACACACGATTTGCATCTGGTAGTCGCGCGGTAGCGCAGATTTAATAATCGCGTCCGGGTTGTTAATGCGCTTCTCGCCGCTAATACTCCCTCTTCGTCGCCGATGATGACCTTCGGTCCCGCCTTCGGTGAATTCATATTCTCGACGGCATTCCTGCCCGTTGCTCGTATTCCGCGAGCCAATCAATTTAATTACAGCCTATCGTGCACGGTGGCAACGCTGCCGCCGAGGCTGCGTTCGCTCGTTCACTCTGCCCTCTCGCGCCGCCGCCGCGATGCAAATTTAGCCTTAATATCGTTAATTATAGTCCGTCGTTCAAACACTTTCGTTCGATCGACGCGTCGTCGAATCGGCCGTCCCGGACCCAAATCAAAAATGACAGCCACGACGTCCGCCTATAGACGAGCCAGTTTCCCACTTGCGCGTTAAACTACATTCGTCTGGCGCGGGACCGATCGGAGATTTCGGGATTCGATACCGCGCGCTTAAAGCGCGCGTGATGAAATCGTGCTTTCGGAGCTTTTAAGATAGATCTTTCTACGCGCGTCTACGCCCTACGTCTTCCGAAATCCGTTCTCGTGTCGTTAATTATAGATCACCGCGACGTTGCAAGGGCGCTTACCTAATTATCGAGACGTCAGATCTTAACGCAGGATCTCGTGCGAAGGCGCACGAGAGCCCTACGAAGCGTTTAGACTTTTACGAGAATATGTTTTGAGCGTCCCATCATCGCTGGGGATTACCTTGGGACGAGGATGGATTGACAAATGGACCCGCGCGCGGGTCGATCGCACGCTGGGAAAATGACGCGATACATCGCTTCATAAATTTACATATTTTTCTTTCGAAGATTATACAAAGAGAATGTATACGCGTGTGTACGTGTTAATAATCACGCATTTTTTTATTTCCACTTTTGCAAACCGTTAAAAAGATACAGAGAGTTTACCCTGCCTTGGACCAGCCGGAAAGATCCGATAGCCGCTCTAAACGCCTCTAGCGCGCATCGTTGATCAGCTATCATGTTGCTAAACAAACCGTGCCGTCTTCCCCATTTCTACTTTTCTTCTGGTTTCTTTTCAACCCAACGTCCGCTGCGTCCGCGGGCGTCCGAGAAACGTGTCATTACGGGAGCGTAAAAAGAATCATCGATAAGGAAGGTGTTGAGAGCGAGATCAAGATATCGCGAATTGTCTTGAGCCGCGTCTGAAGGTGCTAAGCGATTCGGATGATATTGTACGCGCAACATGTGCGTGATGAGAGTGGCGAGCATTAAGTGCTTTCCGACGATCGCGAGATTGACAGCTTTTACTCTCGTCTCGTCTATGTTTTATTATATTATATTATATTATATATTATATTATTATGTTGTGTACTCAAGCACGAGCTCTGCGAGCGAAACATCTTGCGTGTATTATTGGTTTTTATATTCCTCTCTTAGAGAGAGAGAGAGAGACAGAGAGAGAGAGAGAGAGAGAGAGAGAGAAAGAGGGGCACGGGGAGGGGGGACAGACGCTCGCAGACGCGACAACGGACGACGAATACGAAATCAAAAAGATACACTGAGATCGCGCAACTTTTGCTAGCTCCGGGAGAATTCCCCCCCGCGGTTTTCCTTTGTGTTTCGCGTCTCGGGCGATAATTTCGCCCGAGTCACCTTGGTTCGGTTTAATAAGCGCTCGTTTAGAGAGCAACGTGTGCAATGTGTGCGTTATATCGACGCTTCAGAAAAGCTTCCCCGACCTCGGGTTTACGCTCCTACGCTCCTGCGGACTGAAGAATCTTTTCTCGCGCGCGCAGAGCACGTCACCTGATTCGAACGGAGGAACTCGTAGCCGCAGGCGGCTTTTTGCGCGGTCCACGAAGCGTGGAATTAACCGGTGCTTCCCCCTTTTCTAAAACCAACACGTAATTATCTCACCGGCGGTTGCGTCCGGCTATCCTCTTCGCCCGGGCCTTTTCCCGCCGACAGGTTCGGCAAGCGACCCGATACCCGATATTTACATGGCAGGTGATATCAATTATCGCCCGTGAGCCGTCGGTGCCCCGGGGCCCCGAGATTGCAGCCGAATCCGAATCTCGAATGCTTCCTCGCCAATTTCGCTCGATTCGCGCCTTCGTCACTTCTTCCCCCGCCAGCCTGATCTTCGTGATCCGCGCGATGGAGGAGATGTGTTGTCGGTAATCAGCGGTTCGATCGAGCGATCGGCAGGTTCTAGAAGCTGGCCGATGAAAGCTGAAGCGCCGGAATCGCGCGCTCTTTATGAATCTTCGCGATCGCGATCGCGACAACAATGTAGAGAGCACGAGTCTGAGCGTATTTGTAAACTCGTGCGCGCAAACACGTCGTGCTTCGAGGCAAATACGAGGCAAAGATCGAAATTGTTTCCCCGGGAGATATTTGCTTATTTGTGTTTGCGTGTCCCCTGTTGCTTCGACAGAGAGTCTCGAGATTACTCTTCCGCGAGGCTAGGTTGGGACGATTGAGTATGTCTCCGGTATATTTTCATGCTGGTGTATCTCTCTCTCTCTCTCTCTCTCTCTCTCTCTCTCTCTCTCTCTCTCCCTCTCTCTCTCTCTCTCTCTCTCTCTCTCCCTCCCTCTCGCATGCACGAACGAAGACTCTCCCACGTGTGTAACGCGTCCCATCAGGATAGACGGTCGACTGGCCGGTCTCGGCCGGTCGACCGGGATCGATTCTTCTTGTTTCCTACGGGATTGGGCGTAACGCTCCGTTGCAGCTGAAGCAAACGGTGACTCGATAAGTACCGTGATGGTCCCCCGGGGCAAAAACAAATAATAACTCGGCCACGAGAAAGGCCTTCGGTTAGCTACAACGTTCGGCCCCGCGCGGCGGAGCCCATCTCACAAGCGCCTTATTTCCGAGCGACTATCGCAATTTTGAAAATGGTTGTCTCATCACGAAGGGAGAGAGGGAGAGAGAGAGAGAGAGAGAGAGAGAGAGAATGAGAGAGAGAGAGAGAGAGAGAGAGAGCGAGCCCTTGTGTCTGTAGAACGCTGTCGATTACAGGGCGCGCCGCTACTCGTTGTATTTCGGTGTTGGTTTTCGAGCCTTTTGTGTTAAAAAGACGCGCGTAATCATCATCCCTTCCGCCCGTTCCCGCCATTCGCGCCATACGAACCCGTAGAATCGTGAAGGTTCCCAACAAGGTCGGGGAAAGGAGGGGGAGAGAACGCCCATAGTCTGCAATGTGTGCTCCCCTTTCGTTCGCCCCGTGCCGCTTCCGATCGCCGGCGGGTCCACGACGAGCCGACTGGCCGACTTTTTGCGAGCGTCGCGAGCGTCGATCTTAGCATAGGGAATCATCGAGCGTATATACTTCGACAACAGGTGTCGGGGTGGCCGGTATTCGCCGAGAGCACGCGAAATTGCGGACTTGCACGGTCGTCTTTTGCACGTCGAATAAGAGAGCTGAGACGTGAGAGAGAGAGAGAGAGAGAGAGAGAGGGGGGAGGGGAGAGGCAGAGAGGAGAGGGAGAGCCGGTCGCGCGAGAGAGAACGGTACTTTGCATGCACTGCGATTACGCGCTCGTGAACGGTTCGCCGCCGCCCTCGTTGCGCGATTCTGCAACGAAGGTGCAATTCATTCACGACGGTATGTGACGGCTTCATCCGAGAGAGAGAGAGAGAGCGCGAGAGAGAGAGAGAGAGAGAGAGAGAGAGAGAGAGAGAGAGCGAACGACGCCACGAGTGAAGAGAGGAACATTCATGTTGAACGTTTTGCGATTACCCGGGTCGGATATTAATTTCTTATCAATTCTGTATAATTCGTTACGAGAGCGGGCCTACCTAGAATCAGCGCTGTAATCAGCGATGCAGATGAGAGGAATACAACAAGTTTTTATTGATATTTAATATTCTTACATATATCACTACACATATATATAATTGCATATCTTAAAGTCAATTAAAAATTTCACCGGAGTGATCAATGAAACGGCAATTGGAGGAATTATGGTGTAAAGTACTATTGCGCCCTTCGCTTGCTCGAAATTGGTTTCGGTATAGTGCTCTGTATATGGGCGTACTTGGGATTTTTCGCTGGTTTATTAATCGTCGAGTCCGACGATTTGTTACTCGATGGGAAATGTAAATTTGATACAGAGCGGCTCACTGATGCAGCAGATATGCTCAATTTTCGAGAGCCAGCGTCGACGGAAACAGCGCCGCTTTTGCGTCTGTCCTGTGATCCTGTCGCGGTGTCCTGTGATCCTGTCGCGAGCGATCTGGACGATGTCGGTGTCGCGGGAAAGTCGCTAATCGATCTGCGTACCTTGGCAGGAATCGCTAGTTTCGACGCCCGACTGGAAATGATCTCGCTTGTGGAGAATCGCCGTGTGTTTAACGATTGCGACAATTCCTTCTGAAAGGAAATGAAAAGATAGAAGTAAATGAGTGCGCGAAATAAATGCGATGTTTCATCTCGTACGATTGCTCATACTTTCATATCATTCAACTTTGTCACGACGTTGATTGCGGACATTCGTGCTTCGTCCAGGGATTGCAAGAAAGTACTAGTAACCTCAGCTTTTGCAAAAGAATTGTTGAGCTTTTTCAAGTCGATAGTAGTCTCCGCAGTTTGGTTCTCCTCGAAGACGAAGGTGTCGGATCTGCTGATATTCGTAACGCAGATCGCGGGGCTCGATCGTGAAATAAACTGTGGATAAATACGACGAGTTAACGGATAACGAGTATCGGATATTTGTCGTCGTCGTTAAACGTCGTTGGTTAAAAGTGGCACAAGCATGGTCAACAAGATTTCACGCTGGTGTACAACCTCTGATCGCCCAACGTGAGACGACGTCACAGTGCGACGACATTCCGTGTTACCTTTTTCCCTTCCTGAAACACCTCGAGTGTGGTCGATGTCGTTTTTGTCTCGTCGTTCTTGAGATTAGGACTTGAAGTGCCAAAGTTCTTCGGCGTTTCCTGAATATTCTGAGACCTAAACCTGAAATCGAATGTGGCGGAATGATACAGCATAGCGAACGATCCCTCGAGATCGCGATTACATAAACTTTTAAAACAACCTGCATATATTTTCATTTTTTCCGTTCCGATCGCTATTGTCCAGGAGCGGAGTTATCGGTGCGATGTCGTCGGCTCCAACGATCGGTACTTTGACGGAAGTGTTATTAACGTTAATGTCACTTATCCCGAGAAGCGTAGCAAGCACGTTGCTCACAACATTCGTCACTTCTTCCTTCGTCAAAGGCACATTTGTCGACTCATTCTTCTGAAACACGCGACGCATTCGTGAATTATTTTTGCCGTGGAATTTCTCGCCGTTCTCGCGCACATGGCACTTCTATTTTGCTTTACTGCTAGTTACTGCTCTGCGAACTGACGCACTTTTACATTCTACTTTTGTTTAGAATAACGTTTCGTTTGCAAAACGAACGAATACTTTACTTCCGACGAAAGAGGCGGCAAGCGATCCTTCGTGTAACGAATCACCAAGTTTGAAAACTCTTGCGCGAAGTTCATCATTGTTACAGACATGTTTGATGCGAAATCCTGATTCGATGTACACAAGTCAACTAATTTCGAACGACTGATCGACCAGCCGACACTCTAACGACTCTTCTCTATATTTACTGTTTTCGGGTAACGGTCACGGACAATACGAGCAAGTGCTGACGAGTTTCGTTAGCTCGCTCAAGGATAAGCAGCGGTAACATCTATAGTGTATTCTTATTGATATTAACTTGTATCTTTTTTGGCCTCGCTCGTGACTTCTTCTAAGATCTGTTATGTAATGTTAGAGCTAGCGACCGGTCAAAAATGACTGCAATTCGCAATTTCGCATAAAAATTTTTTATTTTTTAACGAACGATGACGAAAAGAAACAAGTAAACAATATTCTTCTCCTGCGTAACGTAATTTTTCTAAAATCTGCCATGTCGAGAACTGAGTGATATAAACTGCTCTTGTTCATTTTATGTAAAAGAGATAAATATATTATTATCCTTCTGCAGCAATTATTTTGCCGCAACGAATCTGCATTGATTTCTATATCGATGGTTTCTTCACTGAAAAAAATTGTCTTCGCTCCTTAATTAATTCCCTTCTCCCGTAGGGGGGTAGAAGCTTGTTTTCTCCCTTCTATCGAGGATAGAATGACATTTAGATAAAAGTCCGTTTTCAAAGCGACAAATCGATATGATATGAATCGGGAATGTGCGTGCAAACAAGAACCTCGTTTCCAGATCGTCCTCCGCGAATCCGTACTCGCGGAAATCACCCTTTACTCGATAACTGAGCCATCGCGCTCCCACGAGCCGTCTTCGAAGTGGTTTCTGAAGTGGCCACTCCTCCGCTCTGCCAATTATTCCCTGCCACACGTCGGGCACTGATGGAGCAGCCCGCGAGAGAGAAGAGGCGTAGGGACATGATAAATCTCCCTCGGGGGAAAAACTAGCCGCCCAAAAATATATGCACACCGGAGATGGATGGGTGGAGTGCAAGGGCGGTGCCCGGTACAGCAGGGAGAGTTTTCGTCTCAGTTTGTTTCTCGGGACTCTTCTTCTTCTTCTTCTTCTTACTATCTCAGTTTCTCTCCTCCCTGCCTCCCCCCCGTCCCCCTCCCCCTCCCTCCACGTCGCCCTCTCCATCTCCCGCTGTCTCGTGCGGCGCGCCGTGGCGCTTTTTTGTAAATTTTTTAGCGATCGAACGATTAGAGGAGGGCGACGCTCGTCAGTCAGCTCGGTGGATGAATCTTCGGCGTATGCAGATACGCGCGTCGCCACTCGGGGTCGTTCGAAAAATAAAATCATACGCGCGATAATGCGACGACGGTCCGACACCGCGCCAGCTGCTCGAGCGCTGCGAAGCAGCGCGTGCTGCATCTTCCAGCCGGCCGCTGGAATCAGCTCGTTTGCTTGGTGAAGAGACTGCAAAAACTATCAGATCCTCTTGCGAGGGAGCCCGTGAGATAGGCGATAAAGGCGGACGTGGTCGCGAAAATGGTCGCGTGTCATTCTGTCTGATTGTTTAATGAGACTCGTTAGGACGCACTCGCGACCGATGTATCGAAATTATGAAATCCGAGTGTGAATTAATCGCAGAATTTTACGTGAGATCGAATACTGCCGGCAGTATTCGATCTCACGTAAAATTCTGCGATTAATTCACACTCGGCTTTTGCTCGAGAGACACTTGATGATATCTCGTCGCCAACTGCGATAATTAATAGCGGAGCGCACCGGCGGCCGTCGTTAACGGGAAATAGTTCCGAATATCGATCGACCGTGCTGGAAATGCTGCTTTCAAGGAACACTCATAAATGGTACTCGGTCGTTTTTCACCGGTCGGGAGGGATTTGGTTTAATCACTGAAACTCGTTACGAGCTCAAAAAGTCGGTACGGAAATTCAGCTCTTCGCGCTGCCGCACTAATTGAGCGAAGGGGAAATTTTTCTTACGATATTATCAAGAGGCACGGTAGTGCCTCGCGCCAAGTTCAAGCGCAACGAAGTTACACCCGAACGACGCGAGGCATACCGTGCCTGTATTACGCGAAACGTGCGAGTTGAAACGAGGTGAGATATTCATATCTCAGTAATGGCTAAACCGATCGAGGTTTTTTCAGTGCCAATCGATTCGGCCTTAAAAAATAGGAAGAAGGGTGTCCTTGTGTGTGTTTTTGTGTATGTTGTCTGTAAATATAGATATTTTAAAATAAAGTCCAAATCACGGAAAAGATCGCAGAGGAGACGGGATTTGTGCATCTCACTTTTCCGACATCAAGAGGCGTTACAAGAAGCGCGCTGAAGAAGCAGCGAGTGCGAGTGAGCAAGCGATAGAGAGTAAGAGAGAGAGAGAGAGAGAAGCATATTGCTGGAATACAGGAGTAGAAATGTGCGGGAAAGAGAAAGAGAGCGAGAGCGAGAGCGAGAGCGAGAGCGAGAGAGAGAGAGAGAGAAGCCAAGACTTTTTGCATTAAATATTTTTTATTGCATTATTATAATAACTAATTTATTATAATAACAAGTAAAATAACCATAAAACTCAGTGTTCTAGTAAATAATGAAGACACTGTTTTTGAAGTACCGGACTGTGTATCATTGGGAGTTTTCGATACATTTTATCTTCAGCCTGCAAATCGCTCTCATTTGCAGAGTTGATGTTGAGTAGAGTTCTTCAGTCGATGCTATTGTCTTGTAGAAATGTAGAATTTTATTTATAGTATTCAATAGAAGAATTTATTGTTAGAGATATAAGTTTTACTAGTACAAACCTATTACTTGTATAACGAAAATAATAACATAATTAATTACATTGCCCAAAGATGCACGCTCAGGTGCGGTACGATGCACAGCATATTAAAAGCTTAAACATTGCCATTTATATCATTTCTTTTGTAAAGTAAAGTGTTGTAGAGTTTTATTATAGTTAGAAATTTTACTTGTAAAATTTTCTGTTACATATACAACTTGAAAAAAAATAAATTTGAAATTTCTAAAAACAACACGATAACACGTGTTGCGCGTGTACTTGGCGCCTCATTTTACCCTTCTGTTTAAAAAGGTAAGTTTTATACAACGTTACAGGCTCTCTGAGACGCGTCCCGGCGGGACAAGGTCGCGCGACTTTGAAAACAACATGTTCATAAGTACGCAATTGCCGCGACCGTTTTCATTATTGTTTATGCCGCGGCGGCGGACGGATCGGCGGATCGCCGTGCGTAATAATTTGTTAATAATTTCCGAATTTTCACGCTCGATCACAGTGTACGCGCGCGTGTAACGTGTAATATTCGTATGTGTGTTTGTGTGTGTGTGTGTGTGTGTGTGTGTGTGTGCGTGACGATCCGGAGCATCTTGAGCAATAGCAGTGTTTCATGGTCTTTCAAGGTAAACTTTTATTGGTTAACTTGGGTTAAGTTGAAGAAGCTAATTTGTAGTCTCGAGTCTTCGTACTCTTGATGCGGGACGCATTTGTCGCTGTAATACTAATGAGGAAACTCGTTTTTTGTTACAGATCTGCTGGAGTTTGCAGCCACGCGAGAGCTGCGGTTATCGGGACGCAGTTTTGACGGACACCGATGGATCCGCACCGGAGGATCCGGTTCGGGCCGAGCAGAGTCGGCTTGAAGGTGAGGTTCACCGTTCGTTTGTACATTTCTTCTTGATTTATTGCGATCGAAAACCGAGCGATTGGAATAAAAGTCGTTGAATTACAATGGCAAAGGGTCAACGTTTATATCTGCGCGCGCGCGCGCGCTTCCGCGAATTGAACTCAACCTGATCTAACTTTTAACTTAACGGTTTAACTAACGAAACTATATTTTTTGTTACAGATCCGCAGCAGAACGCGGCTGACTCTGTCTACTGTGTATCGGTGAGTCAGAGAAGAAAAGACATTTTTATGGTGATGGGTATTTGCAATATCTCGAGCAAATCAATGCGATTTAATTATACTTTTATCACACGTTGCTCGAAATAATCAGGAGATCTCGAGTGTCTTTCAATGACCGTGTTACACAACAGAATCTTATATCTTAAGATATAATATATATTTCTCTCTTTTACAATATATTTACTCTGAATCATTGGAAGATACAGATATAAATGCTTGTATCTTATACGTTATTCCATGACACTCTCTCAATATTTCCATCGTTTACGCGACGCTCGGTGATTTTAATCTCGACTTGATGACTCGACTTCTTATTTCTTCTCTTTTTCCTTTTTACGAAAATACGAAACCTGGCAATCAGTGTGTCAAATTGCATAGCGTGGTATAATCAATTAGAGACGTGGCGTGTAAGAAGGAGGCTATTTTGAACGTTAAATAAATTTTTCCGCAGGGTGTTGCACAGGTGCAAGCTGGGGTTAAAAACACCCGGATGCCGAAGTCGTCGGCTGCAGCTTGCACCCGCGCGGCGGCACGGCTGCTTGGTCCTAGTAAAATAGTTCTTCCTTAGCCCGCGTTTCGTTGCTGCCTCCGCGGTACACTAATTTCGGCGTGTCCTGACAAATGAAAGGCTTCGCCGCGTCTGCATCGCTCCGTACATATATATAGCACCTTCCCAAATATTTATTATTCCAGACGCCGGATGTCCTTAAACGACACTCTGGACGCGCAGCAACCCCTCTTTCTTTTCTTCCCCTTCTATCTCACTTCTGTCTCTTTCTATCTCCGTCGCAGACCGCTAATGCACGTGCAGTCGCGAGACGCGCCGGCGCGGCGGTTGTTTTTGAAGTCCGAACATGTTTGAACAGCGGCCATTGTCTTGGCCTTGGTTTCTTCGTTTTCTGCTCTTCGTCATCAGCAGCGTGCCGCTACCGCCGCTGCGGATGCGTCTCGTTTCAGATAAGGAACGAGTCGCGAGAGCCTCGCGAAAAGCATTTTTACAACCGCAACGACAAGAGGATATCTCGGCAAAGAATTGAATTGTCGTATTGCGGAGGGGCGACAGAGTTCCTCCCGCAAATTCTGCGACAGCGAATCAATTTATCACTTCCGGCAATTAACGTCTCGCCATTTACAACGCAATACCAAATTGTACCGCTCAGAACCTTTGTCGCGAAAATCCTTCTGTACGGCGAATAAATTTACTTATTGATTTATCGT